GTTTGCTGAATGAAGGAATAAATGATGGAAAACACTTTCTCTGACTGCCTGATAAATTATCAGTGACTCATTGTAGATTTCTTGGATGTAAAAATTGTCTTTCATTCTCTGAGTGGCTACATTGGGTATCATCGTGATTCTCTGAATGAATTAATCTCAATGTTTTGTTATTTATATTTTCCCTAGAATTTATGTTGTTACCCGTGAGTTGTAGTGTTTAGCACAGTTGTCTATGTAAGGCTTTTTTCTGTTTTGAATGCCTGACCATCCTAGAAGACCTGTCAACAGTTGTTGACTTTTTCTATTGACCCTGCCTACCTCCTCTTTCATAGCTCCTTAGACGTGATAGTAATCATGTGGATAGGGCATGCTCTTACCCAGTAAGAATATTGAATTCAGTGGAACTGTTTAGGGTTGCTAGTATAAAAAGTAGCTCATGCACAGTTACCTGAACCATTTAGTTAATACTTGAATCCAGATGCACTGACACCGTTGGCTCTGATGTGGCTTCTGGGAATCTGATCAGACTTTCATGGTCAAACAGCAAGAGCATTTACCCCCTCAGCTGTTTCTCCAGCCATGTATTTTTTTATGGGTTGTAATCCACCTCTTTAATCAGTTACCTATCCTAACTAAGGCCTCCATTTTCCTCTATGTATTCTATCCATATTAATTGATTTATGCCGTCTTGTCTACCATCCTGTCTCCATGTGCATACCTCTGTATAATCTGAATGTCTACATCTGTATACAGCAGGACTCACATGGTTTTGACCTGTTAACTAAATTAGACTTAGTGTTTTGTTATTCATATTTTCTTTCGATTAATGCCACCATCAGATATATTTTCTCCTTAAGTGCTATTTTACTTTTCAATTAGATATTCAGCCTAGATGCCAAGGTTAAATGAAACTAACTTAAAGCCACCTGAACAACTTTAGAATCATTTCTGATTTTCTTAAATAAAAAACTTCGAGCTTATAGAAGACAACAAGAGCAATGGTAAAGGCAGCAGAAATAATAGCAGAGCAGGTCAAGGAGATGTGTGGTGTCTGAAGAGGAATGAAGTGTCTTCCGCTGAAAGGAAACGTGCAGACTGAGCCAGAGCTGGAAATGGAACTGGTGTCCTTCTCAGTTGCTCAGAAGCCTCCTTTGCTGCTCAGGACTACTGTTCCTCTCTCTCTCCTTTTTTTCTTTTTCTTTCTTTCTTTTTCTTTTTTTGGAGCTTCCAGAATACTCTCACCCTTTGCCACTGGGCAGAACCTCAGTTTGCTTTTTCCTTCTTGTCCTACCAAATCATACCAAGGCTCTTTTCATTTTGGAGGATTTAAATACAACCATTTTGGTAATACAGGCAGAGGTGTGACACTTTTGTTTGGAGTAGATATTCTTTGCCTGAGTTTCAGACTATTGTTTATCTGACTGGTTATCTCCTGAACCATATCCAGGATTTTCATTGGTACCAGTACTTGTAAAATATGTGCCTCCCAAAACACTCTTATAACATGTTCTAATTAGCTTATTCATTTGTATCTACACATTGCAAAACTTGGTATTAGGGACGGTTCTAGTCACAAGACACTTAGAGGTTGAAAATGGTGGACATACCTTGATTCTAACAGGAACCCAAATGTTTTTTCACTAAGAAGCTTAATCCATATCTTTAAGGGGAGAGGGGGAAAAAAAAAAAGATCGCTGCTTAATCCTCCTTCTGTGAAATATACAGTTGTCTCTTTTCCCAGCTGAGGAGATGAGATGGCATGAAAGAAACTCCTCTGTGGGCACACATCTAGTCCACTGAACATTGGAACCCCTGAGCTCAGGCTTTGAACCTCCCTTTCTTTCCATTAAGTTTTAAAGAGCATTTATCCATTTCTGTGTTTAAATGTGACCTTGATGTTGTTGATGACCCCATCTCTACTTTTTGCAAGGTTATCTTCACTTGTAATTCCGTAGGTGACTTGACTTGTCCAAAATCAGGCTCTTAATGCTCCACAGTCTAAATTTTGCCACTAACATTTCTTACCTTAGTAAACCATGTTGCTTAGGCCAAGCATGCTACATCCAACCCTTCAGCGAATGCTAGTAGACACTCTTACAGCACAGCTAACCTTGCATTGAGGCCAGATGTTGATGCCTACACAGTCATGTTCAAGCACCACACAGCTGAGTTTACAAAAATAAGTAATGAAGAAATTCCCTAATGTTTTAAGTAGAAATGATTGAATAGCAGTAGTCATTGCAAGCACTGTGCCAGGCATTGTTACAAATTCTGTTGAAGTTACTTAATCCTCAGCCTGTGAAGATAGTATTATGTCTTATTTTGGATGAGGAAATGAAGATACAGAGATGTTAGGTAACTGAGTGTCTCACAACTAGCCACTGCTGACTTCAGAGTTCATGCTCTTAGCCAACGTGCTCTGATCTTTGAATGTATGCTGTGATGCAACTGAAGAAGAGCTAAGGTTGAGGCTGAAGTTCTAGGAAGGCAGTTTTCCTTTTTAACCCCACGTCCTAGATTCTCTCCTCAGTCAGCTGCCCACCTCTCTTCAAACTGTATAATGGGTTTGCTAACACTGCCTTATTACATGGATTCATGTCTCTTCTCTCTATCAACCTATAAGGATTATATTTGATTCATTTTTGAGCTGTTAAATTTAGTTGCTTGCATGTCATATGGCCAACATTCAGTTTTTGTCAATTAAACAAAAGAATGCCTTTCCCCATGTTTTTTAATCAATTGGAGCTGTCCCAGTTAAGATTGCCGTCAGGCGTAGTGAGCCTCTGTTCACTGGTGGCACTCGGCTCTATGCTGTTTGTATTTTGTTTTGTTTTTGTGTGTGTGTGTTTGTTTTTGTTTTTCAGAGATAGGGTCAGGCGCCAAGTATTCCAAGCTGGCCTCCAGCTAGCTATGTAGCCCAGGATGTCCTTGAACTTCAGACTCTCCTGTTCCTATGTCCCACGGTTGTGATTGCAGGCGTGCCCCACCGTGCCAGGTTTATTGAGTGCCGGATGCAGAGCTCAGAGCTGGGGGCTGCTGAGAGGGCTCGTCTAGTGAAGTGCCTCCTAAAGCCTGCAGCCTGGCTCTGGCCCCTGTGACCCACAGGATGGACAGAGGACTGCAAGTCAGCCCTGCAAGCTATTCTCTGGTCACCACATGCATGTTGTGGCACATGCATAGAACCAGCATGTGAATACACATATGCATACCAAAATAGAGATCAATTTGGAATAATTTAAAGAGCTCAGGCCCTCCTGTATGTAAGCAACTACACTACCAAGCAACAGTACCTCCCACCCCAGCCAAGGCTCCTGATGGACGCATCCACATCATCCGGAAAGGGAAGGCTAGCTTAAGTTTTTCTCTAACTTTGTCCACGTGTTTCCTGAGTGCTTCCTCTGGGCCTAGCATTGAGGGTGCAGAGATAAATGGGATGAAGCCAGTATCCTGAGAATCCAGCCATCAGTGACAAATGAAGAGAAGACATGCTTAAGAGAATAGACACACATTTTAGTATAGAAAAGTAAGTAGAAAGGAACAGGTTTTAGTGATGTTTTAAGCAAACTTGAAAGGGAAGAACCAGATAGGAAAGTTGAGTCTTTCTAAATGTCTGAGAAGAGAGAATTTGAGGGAGCAAAGATCACATGCAATGAAATCCCCTAGGAATAGTGAATCATTTGCTATCAAGATATGTAGTAAAGCTGGATCAATTCAGTAGCAATTAATGAAGCACTTCTGAAGTGTTTTGCAACTCTTGGAACAGCTGTACCTTTTATTTCCACAACTCCTCGAGGTGTCACCCTCAGTCCTACCGTGGCACTGCAGAGGCGTGGGAGTGAAATAGAACAGTCTGTAACTCAGTTACAAGCAAGGTCTAAGGTTTCTGTCGTCTGGGACAGAGATTCTAACAGGAAGGAACTGTGGTCTTTTTTTTTGTTTTTTTCCTGAGGACTCTGGTCCCTCATGCTGCTCATCTTTCACACATGTCCAAATTCGTCTTAACAGAGAATCAGTCACTAGCTGGGACATGATGCCTAGGTGGGCGGGGGATTCCCCGTGTTGTTTAAGTCATAGTTGTCTTTGAGTCTGGCTGGCATGTTCATGATTAGTTTACTAACAATTGGTTTTTTTCCCTCTTATGCCATATGCTATTCCATGATTCATCAGCTTTGAGTCTGTTGCCTTGAAGGTGAAACAATTTCTTCCAATGTTGATATTTCAAAATCTCATAGATAACAAGCACACACATATGCAGAGTCCTTTCAGAAGTTTGAAACATTTGGAGATGAATGAATTAAGCTGCTACAAATGGAAAGGAGCACTGTAAAATTGTATCAGTTTTATCCAGCGTCTTTTGTGAATAACTTCTGGACACTGAAAGGCCATAGTCTTTACTGTTTTTGTTTTTCCTTGTGAAATTATTGATGGTGAGAGTTGCATATGATTTTAAAATGTTTAACCTTTTACCTAATTGCCTTGCTTTATATTATTTTAATGTTTTGGGTTATAAAATCTTTATTTGAGGAAATGAATAAGACCTAGGGTCCAAATTAGCTGTTTATATTGTGATAATGGCTTCTTCATATATTTGATGAGCAGCAGTGACTGTCCAAACCTCAAGAAGTGTCCTGTAAGTTTCTGATATAAACAGTGACCTTTCAGTGTTTGAATGCTGCACTTCACATTTTCTGACTGTAAAGCAGGGCTTTACAGGTTCTTTCTGCACGGACACCTCTTTAAGCATTTAGAAGGTAGACGCTGATAAACGTGGACCACATCAACTTTCTGTGGACAGCTCTCGCCAGTGCGCTGAGCGCACTGCGGCACTTTGCTGCCTGCCTTGGACTCAGAATGCTGGTGACTGTTTTAGGGAAGAAAACTGTAATTTCATGGTCCGAATGCATGTGAAAATATCCATGTGAATTATGTGATTGGAAAGGGATTTTCAAAAGATTCTAATTTTCAGCATATCTTCTTCTCTCCCCCTTACCTGGGTTTAGCTCCTCTTTGGTTCAGGTGTGCTGGTGTCTCTAAGCCTTTCTGGGCCTCAGCTGGAGAGAGTGGTGATTGACAGGAGCCTGGTGGGGAAGCTCATCTCGGACACCATCAGTGACGGTAATTATACCCATGTGCAAATCAGCTGCTCACATTGACAGTGGGCAGGAGAGGTACCTTGTCAACAGGTAGACTAATTATTACCACTGGGGACTTGCAAACACTACAAGTAATTGCTTGTAATAGCAGACCTACAACCCCTGGGACCAATACAGGCTTCAACTAATATTTAATGTCCATGCGCTTTTCTTCTTGTTAAGTGTTAGGCTCACAGCCTAAGCACCTCACAATCTTTTCTTTACATTTTGGACTGTAATTTTAAAATAAGCTTTTTCATTCATTTAAATTGATTTCTATGTTTTTGGCAATTCAACTTTTCTCAAATGAATCATGTGTAGGTAACACAGATATGTCAAGACAGGCACGGTGGAGTGCCCTGCGTGCTTTGCTTACATGAAGCTACACCATGCTTGTTAGTGAGCACTGGCTTCTGAGTAATATGAGCTATATTTTCTGAATAGCAGAAGCCAGTGCCAGATATGCCAAAGAAGTCCAGACCTACTAAGTGACAGCACCGTGCATGGCTGGCTTAAAGCACATTAGAAAGATTTAAACCATTCATGGAGTAGGAAGGCTACTAATATTTATTGCGCCATGAAAGTCCCATGCTGGGTGCTGTCCTGTTTAATTCAAGAAGGGGCTATGTCAGATATGGTCACTTTTATTCCAGTAGATAAGGAAAGGGAAGCTGAGCCACCAGGATAATGGTCAGGCTTATGTAGTTAGTGAGCGACTGAGCTGAGATCCGAACACAAGTTCTCACTTATTTTCTTTCTGCTATACTATGCTGACTACATATCTTAAGATTCTGTTCCTTTATTTGGGGGTAAAAACAGTCTACAAATAGACTACATTATTGTGAAAGATAAGAACAGTATGTTGAATAAGAAAGGAAGATGTGATCTAGCAGAAAGGAGAGCTATGAGACGGAGAGCCCCTCTCTCTGCTGTGCACACACCAAGTGCTTCTGAGTGAAGTCAGCATAATAGCACAGCTTTAAAGGCAGTGCTCTGCCCATGGCTGTCATGAGGAACACCACTGACAGTAACAGCTGGGTAGGACTGCGGCCATGGCGTTTCCTCCACAATGTCGGAGTGTGTTGCCAAGGGAGCTTCTCTGTGGAAGAGTTCTGTTTTCATGCTCTCATCATTAAACCCTTCATTGGGTTTGCAGATAGCAGTGACTGTGATGGTTTCTCATCTTCATGCTTCTCTGTTAGACTGAGCATGAAACTTTCAACACTTTTCTGCCTGGGTTGGCGTTCTTCATGTGTTTCTTTTATATATACGCAAATCATAGACTCTCCTGGGATAGGAGAGCAATGTGGTTTCCTGGCAGCTCTCCAGATTTTCTCCCTGGTGATTGGTCGCTGCTTGTGCATCTAGAGGTAAAATGGGAAAGAGTCTAGAAGATGTTTAGTGATTTTTTTTTTTTTTTTTTTTTTTGCCTAGGAGCAGTTCACAAAACAATAGCTTTTTATATAACCAATGGTTTTATCTACCTATTCACATTCTTTAGAAATACAAGTGTAGAAGTATTTTTTTTACTGATCCTTATTATTTAATATTAATTTATGCAATATTCCTATTTGGGTATAGCATACTTTATTTCACCCAGTTTGTAAGTCCTCAAAAGAGGTATTACAGATGAAAAGAATTAAATTAAAAAATTAAGTTGTTAGAGAACACTTATCAGCATCAATCCACTTTACTATCAGATGCCTTCTACGAAGGTAGAAACAGCAGACCCAGATAAGTCTTTTTATCATTGTTAATGCCTTTCTTTCTGAGATAGGCTCTTACGGTGTACCCTGACTAGTCTGATGCTGCCTGCCTCTGCCTTCCAAGTGGTGGGGTTAAAGGTATGTGCCACCATTCCGGGCCTCTTTTATGTGTCTTGAGTTCTAATTCCCAAATATTTCCTTTGGTGGTAGTCCTCAAACATTAGTTTATATGGAAATAGTCACTGAAAAAGAGGGAAAATACCAAACCTATATTGCTATATTGATGGTTATTGTTTATTTCTAATATCTTTAGTATCATTCAGATATATTTGGGAGATGTTAGTAAGTTCAGTTAATATTCATTTTCTGGCAGTATCTTTTAAGAATTTCAGCGGAATGAATACCTTGTTATAAGTTTGTTAATCCACTGTTTTAGCTCTTCTTACAGACAATTTCATCATCTTATCCTTTTTGGCACAAAACAAACTATGTTTTATTTCGTTTGCAAAGAAGATGGATTCTCTTGATGTAAACAAGAGATTGGACAAACTTTCAGCCTTGGATTATAAGGTAGAAAATTCAATGTATAATGTCATATTACTACTCATTAAGGTACACCAGGACATTGCGTAAGTTAATGTTACTGTTTTTACTCTTGAACATTTGTGAAACTTGAATCTGCCCTTATACCTCCCCTGGGCTGGAGGCCTAACAATGGCATGTGTGAGTTCATGAAGGTCAAAGTTGTCTTCTTTGCTAATGCTAGTATAGACTGCATTTCTTGGTCCCCTAAGTATCCATATAGCTGCTCAGGATTTCACTGTAAAAAAAGAAAAAAGGAAGAAGGATCTTTCAAAGATTAATAGAAAATATGATAAGTAAAGGTAAGACTCTCACATCTTACCCCCAACTATAGCTGGAGGAAATGCAAAAAGAAATTTCTTTCATGTGTGTTAGTCTTTCTCCCTCTGCTAACTCCAGGTAATTTGTTTCCTGGTATCATGGACTTTGCATCTGTTACGGCAGGATTTTTATTTTAAATTATGTACTTAAATCTCCCACATTACAGTATTTTAACTGCTGGAAAGGCACACTCTCTGCAAGGGTGAGCATCTAATACATTTTCCAGGCTGTTTCAGTTCAAGGCGTCTTTTCAGCAGTGACTTGTGTTTGCAAGACTGATCCAGCCTCTGTGACGTGGATTTGAGACAGTTCACTGTTCAGTGGGAACAGAGCTGAGATACAGCTTTCTTAAAGACAGGGCACACGCGTGCCATCCTCAAGTGTCTATAGCAAAGGCAAAGCCAGCCCTGTGGCTTGTAGTTGGTGCGTGCTTGGAAGCTGCTATATATACCTTACTTTCTGCCCCTTGGAATTGTTATTTATTATGATTAGGGTGATAGTAGCATAGGAAAGATCTAATTTGTTTATAGAAATAGCTATTCTTATAAGGAAGAGTTTTAAAATGGAAAAAGTTACCTGAAATAAATTTTTTTAAACCATAGTAATAATACAATATAGCTTATATGTCAGATTTATGGCGCTTCTATAAAATTTGCCTGATAATGACTTTCTCTAACTGGCAATTTATGATATTCATGTATATATTTAGTTATTTAAAAAATATTTTAAAAAAAGATTCCTTTTAGCATTCTTAAAGTACTGTTTTTCCAAATGGTTAACCTATGTTGATTTTAAAATGTTGTGTTTTTTTCCCCAATATTGGTCTTTAAAATATATCACTTTATTAGCTAAAGCCATTTAAAGTGTTATTAACCTTATTATGTAAAATTCTGTATGACTAGTTCCTTTGCTTCATGTGTGAAGGGTAACTGAGTGACATCTTCTTGACTAAAAGGTGGTAGCCAGTGTGAGCTAAGGAAAACTGGAAGGGTGTCAGTTTTTCTTAAGAAAAAATATGAAAAATAGGCCTATTCTTCAGGTTTGTGTTGCTTAAATAGGGGAATTAACACATTGTTTCTCCCTGTGGACTTGGGAAATCATTGACACTCTACATCATTGCTACTCAGCGGAATGTAACTGTGTCTCCTTGAGGAAACACCATGGATTTCATTTCCTGCTTCAGTGTCTGAAACATATGATGATTAGCGAGTGCCAAATGACTGATCTGCACTGTACAAAACTGAATATGCCAGTCACTCATTTTTAACTGAACTTTATCATCTAGAAATTTGTGCCATGCCTAAATGGCAAGCTGGGCACCAAAATATATGTGCATTTGTCTTCAGGTATTTAACAATTGTAAGTTTTCTTTTAAATAAGAGTAAAGTTCTAGTAATCACACTCAAAGATTAGGTATTTAAACTTAAAAACATAAAATTCATTTATGCTTTTTCTTTGCTCATTTTGGTTTTAAAGCAAGGCTGTGTATCAAATAGATATAATTCTAATTTTCTTTACAGCTATACCATAATTTAATTATTTCACATTGAAATAATTTTGACAAGAAGCATTTCAGGGTAAATATCCTGAAAGTGTTGACCTTTAACTAGCTTTCCTGTCCACATTTTAAAAATCCAATTCGGTTTAACAGTTTCAGGACAGTTTCAGGAGTTAAATGTTTACCATGAGAGAACAACACTGGTAATTACTTTGATTTTAGTTCCTTTTGATGTGTATTCAGAGGATGAAGAGGTCAATAATATTATGGCCATGCAAATAGAAAAGAGTTCCTTTTGACCATGGTGGAAAAAAAAATAGCAGAGGATTATTAAAGCATTAACCTTGATTTTAATGGCCTTGGTTGAGTGGTGAGATCACAATTTGGATGAGCCTGATTATTTACTAAATACAATACATAAATGCAACGGGTTCTTAACACCCATTGCACTCTGGCATTATCGCATTACTGCCTTCCTTTGTTGCCTTGCAGACAGGAATATGAAAGCAATCTGTCATGTAGTGAGACTGGCTCCAGAAGCATTTCTCTGATAAGAAGACCCCCTGCCCTTTGCTAGTGTCTGGTCCAGTAGGCTTAGCCATGCGCTTAATCCCCAGAAAGTGGTTCGATTATTGCTGACCAGCAATGGCAAGATAGTTTTTTTTTCCTTCCAAGCTATCAACCTTCCATTAATTCCTTAAGCAGAAATACGGTGCAATCTATATTTCCTTGGCATGTGTCACCCAGATGGTGTCGTGCTTATGTTTTCAAATAACCATGTTCCAAAATAACATAGTTTGAATAATAAATTCGACAAATCCTTCCTAAGAAAGAGAAGTGTAATTCTCAAAAGCTGCATAAACTTTCACGCTCGCTGCTGTAGCTTATCCCCTTTATGCAGAATCCGTGTGTATACGTCTCATATATTCTTTTAAGAGATATTTGCCTTGAGTTGTTTTTCCTTTTATTGTTGTCAGTCATTGTTAAGGTCTTATGTCTTAAATAGTGGTCAGACAGTGTTGGTCAGCAGTACTGAACTTGTCATTTAGTACAGCTGATGCTAAGCCCCATCTCTGTGTAGGTCGATGCTGTCAAGCATCCATGACTGTACATTTTGGTATTGATTGGAGTCGCTACATCTAGTCCCTCCCTAACTCACATTTCTTTTTCCCTTTCCTCTGCTAAAAATTGGGAGACTTTTGAACATATGTCTTTTTTATATACGTGTCAAAAGAATTTGGTAAATTCTGACACCCTCCTGAGCACATGTTGAAATTGCATATTTACTTGCGCATGTTACATTTACAGATACTTTGATTCCTTTTAAATAGTCCGATGATTTTTATCCTTTCAAAGAAACATTTTCATTTATATTTTGTTTGTTTGTTTGTTTGTTTGTTAACCATTAGATTTCCTACTATGACATACCTGGCCCTGCAAACAGGACAGTAGAGCGTCACTTAGCCATCAACTCCATTCAGGATCTAGTTGTTTGCTGGTGGCCACTGGTCAGTGATGACGCTTGGCCTTGGACTCCAATTTCTTCTGAAAAGGACAAAGCCAATATCCTGCTTCTGGGTCTTACTCAAGGAGGACTGGAGGTAACTCTAAAACAAATGGATACATTTTAATGAAGTGCAAGGAAAATAGTATTACTGGTTTTTCTATTCTGAAATATATGTGAATACATTTTAAACCTATAATTTATATTTTCAAATATTCAAAAAGGAAACTGAATATAAAATGAGATCCTAAAATGTATCATAACTAGAGCATAAGTAGACAACTCCAGGGCTGGCTGAGATAATGCAGTGATTGAAAGCACAGGCTGCGAGGTTCAAACGCTGGTACTGCCACTGCCTCCCTCTCCGCCCGATTAAGGTGCCAGCCTCTGGGGGTTGTCCTTTCATTACTTTGGAAAGTAGAGGTAAAAGTCTATACATTATAGCAACACTTACGCACACTTGCACAAAGCTAGAGTCGCTGCTCACTGTTGCCATCACTGCTGGGGTTGATTGGGGATTTCGCGCCTGGAAAAGCTATGCTGCCGTGTGCCCCTCATGAACATCAGGCCCTGGGATGCCTCACCCTCAGGGCCACAGTTTAACATCACATTTAGGATTGGATCTCTGAAGGGAGCCCTGGAAAGCACAGCGGCCGAGGCCACATCACGATCCTCACTCTGCCTGTTCCTTACAGTGCTGTGGTCATTTGCGTATCCATGTAGATGAACCTGTGTGTGTTTCCATATTGAACCGATGTAAGCACAAACTTCTGGTTTTCTTTTCTATAATTAAAAAGAGTTCTCTCTCTTTTAAAGGCTTAGTTTAAAGGGTGAAAAAGTTCGTTTCAATATTTTCCTCTAAACCTTTCAGATTTTAAGAAGTGTTTCTTAAAATTAGTGTTCTGGGATAAATGAGTAGGTCTGTCGTCCCCCCCCCCCCTTTTTTCCACTTACATAAACTTTCAGTCTTTTGAGTTTTCTTTATTTTGGAGACAGATTTTTTTTTTTTAATGTAGCCTAAAACTCCTGATCCTCCAGCCTCAGCTTCTTTCCTGCTGAGTTGAAGACATGCACTGCCATGCTCAGTTGTAGGCTGCCTTTTAATATTGAAGAGTCTAGAACTCTATATTTTATATAAGTGTGTCTTTCTTAGGAACTCGGCCTTTCCCAATTCTTCTGCAGTAAGCTTTCCCGGCTCTGTATTGGGTAGACCACCTACCTAATCTATCTAACTGGCTTTAGTTTTTCTATTTTTAAGCTAGCAAATTTAAACTATCCTAAAATAAATTTATGCCAGGCCCCTGGTGCTCTAAAATGTGCAGGTATAGGTGCTAAAATACAGATTTATTTTGCCATTTCTGCTCAACTCTTTAGTATGTTTTGAACCCAAACTCAAATTGACCCAAACTGATCTTTCCAGTGTTGCTTTCTTATGTAAACCTATGCTCTGGGCAAATGAAATTACTCAGCGAATCATTATTTCTCGTCTTCTGTAGTAATGGTGTTTCTGCCTGAAGTAGGTAGTGGCTTTAAGCATGATCTTGCATAAGCATTGTGTTCCATTCCAGATGACATGAATAAGAAACTGTCTTGCCTGCAAGGACCCTAGTTGTTTTTGTTTGTTTGTTTGTTTGTTTGTTTGTTTTTACCAGTGAGACAATGTCAGTTTGCTATAGGTAGAATGTGTATAAGCTATAGTAGGAGCTAACAGGGAGTGATTGGTTCTACTTCCAGATAGTAAGAAGGTTAATGGGTCTCACAATGTGCTCAACTATGAGATTGTTACCCAGTTTTACTTGCTTTTATTATCTCTTCTAGATCTGATTTCAAACTTGTATTAGCACTGTGAGTGGTTTTGCTATCCCTTTCTCCTCCCTCAACAGTACCAATGGAAATTATAGAATGTAGATTTTTTTTTATAAGTTATTGATTCCATTTTAAGGAGTTGTCTGAGTCTTTTTATGGGGGAATTCTATTTTATTGAGTTGTTTTTCTATAGTTTTTATAAGAGTAACCATTTTATGAAAGCATCTGAGTTGGTTTTTCTGAATTTGTGTGTGGTATGTGAATATGAGGTTTGGTAACTTGGAACCTAGTCCAAAGCTTCTTTCATTCTAGGTGAACAAACGCTCGATCACTACGCTCTAAACCCACACATTATTTTGAACCATTTATTACTTAATATTCTGTCATTAACTTCTGATGTTTTATTATATACAATTCATTTTCCTGGCAAGGGCTTTTGTTTTAGGATTTTGCCCTTGTAATTGCTCTACTAAAATTCAACAGTTCAAAAGAAATTGTAAACATTTTTTTTCCAGGAACTCTTGTGAATTTTACTATGTTAAAGGTAAATGTTTTTAGGGGAGAAATATCCAGGGAAATGATTGTTTTACTTTTCGTATGAAGACTTAATCTTTAATTGGAACATTTTTTACCATGTCATTAACTAAAGCCACCAGCAGCTGAAAGTAGTGGTCGTCAAGATGGTTCCTTTAGTTTCTTTTTCACAGGCAGCAGCAGACTTCTTAAATAAATCACCAGAAATAATAAGACAATATGCTTTAAGCTCTAAAGTTATAACAAAAAAGAGAAAAAATCTTCATAGAGAATAAATTGAATAATCTTTGAATCTGTTAAACTATAGAATTTTAAGAAAGTATTTTCCATGTAGGCTTTATCAGAAAAGATAATAAGCTTTTATTTTGACAGTGGCAGAATCCTAGAACAGTAGTTCCTACCCTGGTAATACATTATAGTCGCCTGCAGAGCTTTTGAGACAGGGCCACCAGAAGACTTCCATCAGAATCTCCGGTCAGGAGGGGGCATCAGTAATCTGTTTCGGGTTCCCTAGGTGATCTCATGTGCATCCAAGTTGAGACCCACTGCTTTACAGCAAATTTAAAAAAAATGAAAACGGAAGCCATCTTTTTTGCATAACAGACCATGGAAAGGATAAAGCCCACATACTGAAGCAAATGAGAGTTGTAACAGTGAAGTCTAAGTAGAAAATTGGCTTACCAAGCTGCTAAAAAATAAGAAAAGAAAACAAAGGAAACAGAAACCAGCTCTCTGTAACCATATTATCTGTCTTCTGAGGGAAAACATTGTAAATTTTATTTATGGATATTAGAAAACGCCTGGTCCAATTTCACACCACAAAGTTCTAAACAAATATTGTGTATCTTAATTAGAAGCACAGAGCAAGGGGGGTTATGTAGTCTAAGAAAAATGATTCTTTAAAAAAAAAGTATGATAAATAATGTAGAAAAAGGAACTTTAGCCAGCAAATTCATTAAGAGCCTGTTTTAGGGCTTGGAGATGATTCAGTTGCAGGGCGGCCTAAGGGCCTGAGCTTGATCTGCAGGAACCCAGCCCTGGGGAGCTGGGGACAGCAGGGTCCGGAGGCTCTCTGAACAGCCAGCCTGGCCTAAACTGTCAAACGCCAGGTCCTCACTGGAGACCCCATCTCAAAAAAGCAAGGTGGATACTCCTGAGGAATATCACCCAGCCCAGGCCCCACCTCCCCAGACACACCCACACATACATGAGCCTGTACATGCACGTATAAACATAGTGTAGCAGCTTATGTATTACCATGTGGTATGTAGAATTGTCGTTATTGAAATTTCTTTTTGCTACTTGTATTTTGAAAAGTTCTCACGATTTTCTTCTGTGTTAACCGTTCACTTTGACAAGGACGTCATGACAGCTTAACTCTTTTATGTTTATGCAGCCATTTTACCTTTTGTAATGTGTAAGTCTGATCCTCCTCTCTGCATGTGCTGCCAACATCACAGTGTTTACTGGGAGACCACATGATCTTGCTCAGCAAATTAAGCACAGACACACATGCGGAGCTATCACAATCTAAGACATGGTCGACCTAGAAGAATAAATCCTCACAAACACTTTTCTTCTTACAAGGTGTTTTGTTGTTTGGGTTTTTTTTTGTTTGTTTTTTTTTTTTGTTTGTTTGTTTGTTTTTTGCTATTTGTTTTGTTGAAGCTCCTCGTGTAACTCAGGCAATCCTTGAGCTCCAGTTGCCATGCCTCTGCCTTCCCCCTGCTGGAACTCAGATGTGCACGACCACCATACCACACAGTGTCCTATGAGAAGCATTGTCTGTGTGTATTTTTTTAAAGAGCAGTGTAACTGGTAGGAAAATATTTATGTGTTCAACTGTTAGTATAGTACCTTCTGATAAGGGAATCCAGGAAATACTCCAGATATTTTCAACTGTAAAGCCAAAGTATTTGTGAACACCCTGACAACGAGGTGTACCTGTGTTAGCTTTTAGCTAGGTATAGTCTGTTTTATGGAATGCGAGTTGTGTGTGTATGTATGTGTGTGTTTTAATGTTGGCTTAACATATTTATCACAGTCTGTAATGAATATAAAGCAAATAACACAAATAAATACATAGCTTAATGAGCTACTATAAGCAGAATACCCCTGGAATCATCAGTCACAAGGAGAAATAGAACTTTGCAGCCCCATGAGGCATCTCCCTGTGCTGTCTAATCTTAATGGTGACTCCATTTCCCATGGTACCCATTGCCATCAACCTCTAGACACTTTCTTATTTACTTACAGATTTTACTACCCATGTGTACATTCCCAGAAAAGAAAACATTATGTCCATTTAAAGCATTTCAGTGTGCATCTTAGTCTACAAGTTTTCACTAGTCCCTTTCTTTCCTAAAAATGTATCTGTTCCAACTATAGTATCCATGGGCTGAGTCCTGCTTGTATCTGCGGTCCATCCTTTAATGTGTTTCTCTGTCTCACGGTTCTACAAGTCGGAGGTGTTGGTGGGACTCTCTGGAGTCTCTGTTCTTTTATCTTCAGGTACATTTCTTTAAGTTCATTGGCTTTCTTGTTTCTCCTTTTTGATGTTAGCTTTTGATGTTCAGTTCCAGGTACATAGATTTATTAATGTTACAAAATGGTAATTTTCTAATTAGATCATTTTATTTTTCTTTGTTAATTGGACTCTTGTATAATTAACACCCCTATGAGCCTTATTGGTAAGCTGAATAAATGTCTATTTTATTTTGTCAACATAATAAACTGATCTATAATGAAGATGTTCAC